CAAGATTACTCTACCCAGCAAGGATCTCATTCAGATTCAATGGAGCAATCAAAACCTTCACAAACAAACAAAAGCTGAGAGAATTCGGCACCCCCAAACCAGCTTTACAGCAAATGCTAAAGGAACTTCTCTAGGTGGGAAACACAAGAGAAGGAAAAGACCCACAAAAAGAAACCCAAAACAATTAAGAAAATGGTAATAGGAACATACATATCAATAATTACCTTGAATGTAAATGGATTAAATGTCCAACCAAAAGACACAAACTGGCTGAATGGATACAGAAACAAGACTCATATATATGCTGTCTTACAAGAGACCCACTTCAGACCTAGGGATACATACCGACTGAATGTGACGGGATGGAAAAAGATATTCCATGCAACTGTAAATTAAAAGAAAGCTGCAGTAGCAATACTGCAGATAGTTTGCAATACTGCAAATTAGATAAAATAGACTTTAAAATAAAGACTTACAAAAGATAAGGAAGGGCACTACATAATGATTAAGGGATCAAACCAAGAAGAAGATATAACAATTATAAATATTTATGCACCCAACATAGGAGCACCTCAATACATAAGGCAAATGCTAACAGCCATAAAAGGGGAAATTGACAGTAACACAGTAATAGTAGCGGACTTTAACACCCCACTTACACCAATGGACAGATCATCCAGACAGAAAATAAATAAGGAAACACAAGCTTTAAATGACACAACAGACCAGATAGACTTAATTGATATTGATGGGACATTCGACCTGAAAGTGGCAGAATACACTTTCTTCTCAAGAGCACACAGAACATTCTCTAGGATAGATCACATGTTGGACAGATCAAGCCTTGGAAAATTTAAGAAAACTGAAATTGTATCAAGCATCTTTTCTGACCACGACACTGAGATTAGAAATCAACCACAGGAAAAAAAAAACCATAAATACATGGAGACTAAACAGTGCACTGCTAAATAATCAAGAGATCACTGAAGAAATCAAAGAGGAAATACATAAAACTAGAAGTCGGCTCTTTGAGAAATTAAACAAAATTGATAAACCTTTAGCAAGACTCATCAAGAGAAAAGGGAGAGGACTCAAATCAATACAATCAGAAATGAAAAAGGAGAAATTCCAACTGACACTGCAGAAATACAAAGGATTGTAAGAGACTATTACAAGCAACTATATGACAATAAAATGGACAACCTGGAAGAAATGGACAAATTCTTGGAAAGTTACAACTTTCCAAGACTGCACCAGGAAGAATTAGAAAATATAAACAGACAAATCACAAGTAATGAAATTGAAATTGTAATTAAAAATCTTCCAACAAACAAAAGTCCAGGACCAGATGGCTTCACAGGTGAATTCTATCAAACATTTAGAGAAGACCTAACACCTATCCTTCTCAAACTCTTCTAAAAAATTTCAGCGGGAGGAATACTCTCAAACTTGTTCTACGAGGCCACCATCACCCTGATACTAAACCAGACAAAAATATCACAAAAAAAGAAAATTACAGACCAATATCACTGATGAACATAGACGCAAAAATCCTCAACAAAATACTAGCAAACCGAATCCAACAACACATTAAAAGGATCATACACCATGATCAAGTGGGATTTATCCCAGGGATGTAAGGATTTTCAATATATGCAAATCAATCGACGTGATACACCATAGTAACAAATTAAAGAATAAAAACCATATGATCATCTCAATAGATGCAGAAAAAGCTTTTGAGAAAATTCAACACCCATTTATGATAAAAACTCTCCAGAAAGTGGGCTAAGAGGGAACCTACCTCAACATAATAAAGGCCATATACAACAAACTCAGTAAACATCATTCTCAATGGTGAAAAATTGAAAGCATTTCCTCTAAGATCAGGAACAAGACAAAGATGTCTACTCTCACCACTATTATTCAACATAGTTTTGGAAGTCCTAGCCATGGCAATCAGAGAAGAAAAGGAAATAAAAGGAATCCAGATTGGAAAAGAAGTAAAACTGTCACTGTTTGCAGATGATATGATACTATACATAGAAAACCCTAAAGATACCACCAGAAAACTACTAGAGCTAATCAATGAATTTAGTAAAGTTGAGGGATACCAAGTTAATGCACAGAAATCTTTTGTATTCCTATAGACTAACAACGAAAGATCAGAAAGAGAAATTAAGGAAACAATCCTATTTAAGATTGCAACAAAAAGAATAAAATACCTAGGAATAAATCTACCTAAGGAGGCAAAAGACCTGTACTCAGAAAACTATAAAACACTGATGAAAGAAATCAAAGATGACACAAACAGATGGAGAGGTATACCATGTTCTTGGATTGGAAGAATCAATACTGTGCAAATGACTATACGACCCAAAGCATTTTTTACAGAATTAGAACAAAAAATTTTACAATTTGTATGGAAACACAAAAGATCCCAAATAGCCAAAGCAATCTTGAGAGAGAAAAACGGAGATGGAGGAATTAGGCTTCCTGTCTTCAGACTATACTACAAAGCTACAGTAATCAATACAGTACGGTATTGGCACAGAAACAGAAATATAGATCAATGGTACAGGATAGAAAGCTCAGAGATAAAAGCAAGCACCTATGGTAACCTAATCTATGACAAAGGAGGCAAGGACATACAATGCAGAAAAGACAGCCTCTTCAATAAGTGGTGCTGGGAAAACAGGACAGCTACAGGTAAAAGAATGAAATTAGAACACTGCCTAGCACCATACACAAAAATAAACTCAAAATGGATTAAAGACCTAAATGTAAGACCGGTCACTACAAAACTCTTAGGGGAAAACGTAGGAAGAACACTCTATGACATAAATCATAGCAAGATCTTTTTAAATCCACCTCCCAGAGTAATGAAAATAAAAACAAAAGTAAGCAAATGGGACCTAATTAAACTTCAAAGCTTTTGCACAGCAAAGGAAACCATAAACAACACGGAAAGACAACCCTCAGAATGGGAGAAAATATTTGCAAACGAAGCAACGGACAAAGGATTAATCTCCAAAATATACAAATAGCTCATGCAGCTCAATATCAAAAAACAAACAACCCAATCAAAAAATGGAAGGACAACGGGCTTCCCTGGTGGCGCAGTGGTTGAGAGTCCGCCTGCCAATGCAGGGGACACAGGTTCGTGCCCCGGTCCGGGAAGGTCCCACTTGCCGCGGAGCGGCTGGGCCCGTGAGCCATGGCCGCTGAGCCTGTGCATCTGGAGCCTGTGCTCCACAACGGGAGAGGCCACAACAGTGAGAGGCCTGCGTACCGCAAAAAAAAAAAAAAAAAAAATGGAAGGACGACCTAAATAGACATTTCTTCAAAGAAGACATACAGATGGCCAAGAGGCACATGAAAAGATGCTCAACATCACTAATTAGTAGAGAAATGCAAATCAAAACTACAGTGAGGTATCACCTCACACAGGTCAGAATGGCCATCATCAAAAAATCTACAAAAAAAAAAAAAATTTACAAACAGTAAATGCTGGAGACGGTGTGGAGAAAAGGGTACCCTCTTGCACTGTTGGTGGGAATGTAACTGATAGAGCCACTATGGAGAACAATATGAAGTTTCCTTTAAAAACTAAAAATAGAAGTACCATATGACCCAGCAATTCCACAGCTGGGCATATACTCTGAGAAAACCATAATTCAAAAAGTCACATGTACCCCAATGTTCACTGCAGCACTATTTACAATAGCCAGGACATGGAAACAACTTAAATTTCCATTGAAAAATGAATGGATAAAGAAGATGTGGTACATATATATAATGGAATATTACTCAGCCATAAAAAGGAACAAAACTGGGTCATTTGTAGAGATGTGTATGGACCTAGAGTTTGTCATACAGAGTGAAGTAAGTCAGAAAGAGAAAAACAAATATCATATATTAATGCATGTATGTGGAATCTAGGAAAATGGTATAGATGAACCTAGTTCGAGGGCAGGAATAGAGACATAGAGAATGGACATGTGGACACAGGGAGGGAAAGCGAGGGTGGGATGAATTGGGAGACTAGGTTTGACATAAATACACTACCAAGTGTAAAATACTGGGTTGGGCCAACCTAATAGATAGCTAGTGAGAACCTCCGGTATAGCACAGGGAGCTCAATTCCATGCTCTGAGATGACCTAGATGGGTGGGATGGGGGGAAGTGGGTGGGAGGGAGGTCAAAGAGGGAGGGGATATATGTATACATATAGCTGATTCTCTTCACTGTACAGCAGAAACTAACACAACATTGTAAAGCAATTATACTCCAAAAAAAAAAGATGGGCAACAAAGAAAGTCTTATTCAGATTACTGAAACATTCAAATAGTATAATTTATCAAAGTGAAAATAATGCTTTTTCCTTTAACCATGAAAATATCAACCTGTCTCTAAGAATAAAAATCTGTGGTAGAACCATCAGGCAGCATCTTAGTAAACAAGTAAAATAATATATGAATTCCATATATATATATGTGTTAGCATACGGTATTTGTCTCTCTCTTTCTGACTTACCATGAAAAACCTAGGGGTGAAACAGGAATAAAGACACAGACTTACTAGAGAATGGACTTGAGGCTATGGGGAGGGGGAAGGGTAAACGGTGACAAAGCGATAAAGAGGCATGGACATATATACACTACCAAAAGTAAGGTAGTTAGCTAGTGGGAAGCAGCCGCATAGCACAGGGAGATCAGCTCGGTGCTTTGTGACCGCCTGGAGGGGTGGGATAGGGAGGGTGGGAGGGAGGGAGACGCAAGCGGGAAGAGATATGGGAATATATGTATATATATAACTGATTCATTTTGTTGTGAAGCTGAAACTAACATACCATTGTAAAGCAATTATACTCCAATAAAGATGTTAAAAAAAAATAATAATAATATATGAAGTTTAGGAAACTGTAATTCCCCTGTTGCTTGTGGTGGTTATGCCACATGATCTTTTAAAGGCAAAAGAAAAAATAAATATTCCTTTACCTTGTAAGATGGCAGGAAACACAAAATTCCTTGGCTCATAGTCTGGCACACAGATAACACAAGTGCTCCCACTTCATCCTGGAACTCAAATGTTTCTGTGTGCTGGAAGGTAGCACAGAGACTGCGACCCTTGGGGCCTGACCCAATGGTGCCAACCCAAACCTAGAATATAAATATGTCAGTATTAGAGTTATGCTTAAATGAGGCAGGCAAATTAGCATTTAATTTGGGAGCCTTAATTATGTGTATGTCAAAAAAAGATCAAGCAATGAGTTTAGAGAAAATTTACTTTTAAATTGTTGGGGGTTTTTCCTATTACCTTTAATTAATTATATATAGATTTAATTTATGAAAGTTTTACTTTAGGCAGACCACTGAATTCTCTTAGGATGAAAGAAAAACAGGTTATATTTATGTATTTCCTCAACAGCTTTACAAAATTAAGCAGGTAACAACATTTTGTTAGATGATAGGAACAAATGAAATGAATAAATCAGAAATGAATCCAAAATAAGAGATGAGGGCTGGTACGATCTGCTATAGTTAAGTCTCTAAGATTCAATTATGACAGGAACTACTGTTTCACAAATTCCCTGATGCTCAAAGATCTATAGTCAGAAAATCAGACCCACCAAATTTTACAGTTATGTGCAATTCCTCTACATTCACATAGGTCTAGCCTTAGTATAGTTAATTTGACTAAGAGAAAGTACAAATTTTATTAGTATTCTAAAGACAATATAAACACTTCGGATTGTTGAAAAATGTAATAGTCTTATATTTGGAAATGATATACAAGATTGAGGTACATTTTGCAAGATGACATCTGATGGATACCAGTTTAATCAACTTTAAACCAAATGATCAACTAGTAATAAGACAAACTGATAGTATGTGTTTCTTGATATGATACAATGGGAAGCAACAATATCATTTATATAGTATTCTTACCAAACACTTTAACTTGAATCTTATCATGAGAAAACAATCAGAAAATTCCAGATTATAAAGTATTCCTAAGGACAACTGGTGACTTGAATTCTTTAAAAATGTCATGAAAGACAGAAAAAAAGGGCAAGGAAACTATTTTAAGTACTAAAGAGGCATGAACTGGTGCAGCCACTATGGAAAACTGTATGGAGGTTCCTCAAAAAACTAAAAATATAACTACCATATGATCCAGCAATTCCAATTCTGGGAGTATATCTGAAGAAAACAAAAACACTAATTTGAAAAGATACATGTACCCCAATATTCATAGTAGTGTTATTTCCAATAGTTAAAGATATGGAAGCAACCTAAATGTCCATCACAGATGAACAGATAAAGAAGATGTGGTACACACACACACACACACACACACACACACACACACACACACACACTGGAAGAGTACTCAGCCATAAAAAAGAACAAAATCTTGCCATTTGCAACAACATGGATGGACCTGGAGGGTATTAGGCTAAGTGAAATAAGTCAGACAGAGAAAGACAAATACTGTATGTTATCACTTACATGTGGAATCTAAAAATTACAACACAAATGAATATAACAAAACAGAAAAGATTCCCAAATAGAACAAACTAGTGGTTACTAGTGGGGGGAAGGGCAAGATGGGGTAGCGAATTAAGAGGTACAAACTACTATGTATAAAATAAATAAGCTACAAGGATATATTGTACCGCATAGAGATAATAGCCAATATTTTATAACTTTAAATGGAGTATAAACTTTAAATGGAGTTTTAATAATCTATAAAAACTTTGAATCACTATGTTGTACACCTGAAACTAATACTGTAAATCAACTATACTTCAGTTTAAAATAAGAAAAAAAAAAAACTAAAGAGACTTGAAAACCAAATGCAATATATAATACTTGACTGGATCCTGAATCAAGAATAAGAAAAATAAACAGGTATAAAAGACACATTGGGAGCATTCGGTGCCCTGAGAGTGAAGCTACAAGAGTGGACCTTTCTTGGGATAACCAAACCTACGCCAAGAGAACAGGCTAGAGAGAGGCAGTTCTGTGGTGTTCTTGGTCACACATTTATGGAGTTTCTGAATGGCAGTGGAGACTACTGCCAGGCACAGCACAACCTCTATGCAGACAAGTGAACTGTAGAAATTCATTACTACTCCACCAAGAAGCCCCCATAAGAGTGGCTAACCTGGACACAGAAGTGTTGAATTGAAATCCACAGAGCATTTTTTACAAGAGTTCTGACCTGGATGGGGTAAACCTCAGTGAACTCCTTTTCTACTACCTCAGTATTACTGGATTGAAGAATTGCTGCTTCTTGTCAGGAGGTTCATTTCATTTCCCATTACTCCCAACTTCATACTCGAAAGCACTGAGAATTTCAAGTGCAGTATATTGAAGTAGACTCAGTTTATCTGCATCATTTCTGTATTCAATTTTTAAAATTCTTTCATAAGCCTATTGAGTGTTTTTTAACTAAATTAACATGGTTCGAATGAACCGCTCAGCTCCTGTGGAAGTCACTTAAAAGAACGTGAGATTTCTCATTACACACAATCCAACTAATGCAACCTTAAACAAATTTATAGAGGAACTTAAGAAGTATGGTTACCACAATAGTAAGAGTATGTGAAGCAACTTATGACACTACTCTTGTAGAGAAAGAAGGCATCCATGTTCTTGATTGGCCTTTTGATGATGGTGTACCACCATGTAACCAGATGGTTGATGACTGGTTAAGTCTTGTGAAAATTAAGTTTCATGAAGACCCTGGTTGTTGTACTGCCTTTCATTGTGTTGCAGGCCTTGGGAGAGGTCCATTGCTTGTCGTCCTAGCATTAATTGAAGGTGGAATGAAATATGAAGATGCAGTACAGTTCATAAGACAAAAGCGGCATGGAGCTTTTAACAGCAAGCAACTTTTCTATTTGGAGAAGTATCGTCCTAAAATGTGGCTGCGCTTCAAAGACTCCAATGGTCATAGAAACAATTGTTGCATTCAATAAAACTGGGGTGCCTGATGCCACTGCTTAGAAGTGGAACCTAGACAGACAGAATCTGTCATACATGTTAGCCAGCACGTTGGCTTGGTAAAGTCTGATGAAACTTCCATAGGAGTGTCGAAAAGCAGTTTTACCAGGTCACAAGCCTGGCAGAATTGCAACCTCTATGTTTGGGCTATGATCAACCTACTTAGCCACTTAGCAAAGGATTCTTTCTGTTCAGCATTTAAAATGTGCTTTATCGGGCTTCCCTGGTGGCACAGTGGTTGAGAGTCCGCCTGCCGATGCAGGGGACACGGGTTCGTGCCCTGGTTCGGGAAGATCCCACATGCCACGGAGCGGCTGGGCCCGTGAGCCATGGCCGCTGAGCCTGCGCGTCCGGAGCCTGTGCTCCACAACAGGAGAGGCCACAATAGTGAGAGGCCCGCGTACCGCAAAAAAAAATAATAAATAAAAAATAAAATGTGCTTATCATTTGTACCAAATTACCTTTCCTAAAATCATGCAGTACTGAGTCATGTCTTTAAATCTGTTTCCATGCCAGAATCTTATCAATATATAAGAAATTTAGAAAGACTAGGTACCAAAATACCCAGCACAGTTCTTGTATATTTTTAGTATGATATAGAACTAAAATCCCAGGAACTATGAAAACTCTGGACCTTATGTGGTTTATTCCTTCCAGCATTTCCAACATAGAAAGTAGGGCCTATGAGGTTATTTGCTCACGATATGTTTACATCTTCTACATTCATACCAGTATACATGAGATTTGCTCTTTTTTTTAAATTAACCAAGTCTTACAGTGATTATTTAATGTCTTGCTATAAAACTCATTTTGTGCTGTTATAGAAAATCTACATTGTACGGAAGCACATGCCTTTAATGTCTCCAGACAAAAAAGCCTTACAGTTAATTTTAATGTTTGCACTTTGGGGTGTAACTTACAGGGAGGGCCTGAAAAAAGAATGGGAGGGGGCTATTAAGTATTTTTAGTAAAATGTTGCCTTTGTCTTGTGAAGAACATGTACAATATGTATTTTAATTTATAAATATATTTTTAAAAGGTAGAAATACTTTGTTATTGTAGCTAAAACAATTCTTAATCATAAAATTTCTGAAATTCTTGTAATTTTTTTTCAAACTTATCTGAAGTTGTTTACCAACTTATTTTGGTTTGAAGTGTGATTCCCAACCTCTCTTGCCAAAAAAAAAAGTGGGTTTCTGCTAATGAATTGAGCAGACATTTAATGTTTTATGTCTTTTGAGCTGTGTAACTTAATATGTGGATACTTGACAATTTGTTTTATTATGTAATAGATAGAATGGTGATGAGTATTAACGTTAGCTCAACCATATATTTATACTGTCCCGGAACATGTGGTTATAGTTCTGTGGGAGAAATAATTTGTCAGTGTTCACCAGCTTGTAAAAATCTAGTGTGAGAGCTTAAACATTAAATAAATGGTGAAATGCATTTATCATCAAAAAATAACAAAAGACACATTGGGAATATCTGGAAAAATATAGATTCTATTGTATCAATATTAAATTGCTTGGATATAATCATGATACTGTGGTTATGCAAGATTATGTACTTGTTCTTAGGAGAAACATGCTAAACTAATTAAGGGCAAGGTGTCACTATGTGTACAAATTACTTTCTAATACCATAACCAAAATTAATGTAATCATCAACATTTTGCAATATTACTCTTCTCTTCCTTTGTCTCATATATATACAGATGCAAAATGTTAAAAACTGATGAATCTAGGTTAAGGGTATAAAGATATTCACTATATTAATACTATTTTTTCCATTTTTCAAGTTATAATTTTTTAAGTAAAAATTTGGGGTGATCAAGGAATGAATGACCAAACAAAATGTGATACACACACACACACACACACACACACACACACACACACACACACAACTGGAATATTACTGAGCCTTGAAAAGGAAGGAAATTCTGATTCATGTTACAAGGATGAACCTTGAAGACACCAGGCTAAGCGAAATAAACTAATCACAAAAACCTTGTGATTCCACTTACATGAGGTATTTAGAATAGTCAAATTCATAAAAACAAAAAGTGTAATGGTGGTTACAGGGGCTGAGAGGAGGGGGTAATGGAGAATTGTTGCTTAAGAATAGAATTTCAGTGTTGCTATATGAAAAAGCTCTAGAGATTGGTTATATACAACAGTGTGAATATACTTAACAAAACTGAACTATACACTTAAAAATGGTTAAGATGGCAAATTTTATGGCATGTGTTTTTTACCACAATTAAAATAAAAAACTTTTTAAAAGTTGGGGGAAATGTAACAGAATCCAGCTGAACTAGCATTATTATTATTGTTAATTATTATTTAGTGACATTACAGGTTAAACGGGCTTTTGTGCACTAGATTGAGAACACAGAACCTATAATAACATTCTTTTGAAAAAATATATGCTGAATTTACTAATACTTCCCATATTTATTTGAACCTCTAAGGAAATATCTTGAAAATGTGCAACATATATTTTTCCTTTGCTACTGCTTATAGCAATGTTTCTATACAGGAGCATTCTGGATTTTGGAAAGCACAATCCTTGGTTATATAGGAGTTTAGCATAAGGCTCTCACCTACTAAATGCCAGTAATTTCCAAAAATACTTCTTAGTTGAAAACTATAGCTCTTTATAAAGAACTAGAATTATATTAGGCCCACAGGTGGTATTAAGCATGTAGCTAACCACTTTAAATTACTTCCTAAAAAGAAATAGAAGGCAGCCTGACAAATGACAATTCAAACATTCTTAGGAAAATTAAAGTAACATTTACATGGTATTGTTATAAAAAATTAAAATCTGGGCTTCCCTCGTGGCGCAGTGGTTAAGAATCTGCCTGCCAATGCAAGGCACACAGGTTAGAGCCCCGGCCCAGGAAGATCCCACATGCCTCAGAGCAACTAAGCCTGTGCGCCACAACTACTGAGCCTGTGCTCGAGAGCCCACAGCCACAACTACTGAAGCTTGTGCGCCTAGAGCCCATGTTCCACAACAAGAGAGGCCATGACAATGAGAAGCCTGTGCACCTCAATGGAGAAGCCCCCGCTCACCACAACTAGAGAAGCCCACAGACAGCAACGAAGACCCAACACAGCCAAAAATAAAAACAAACAAATGAATAAATAAATAAATAATAAAATTAAAATCTTAAGTTACAGGACTCATAAGAATACTTTTAATTCATTTCAGATATTCAAATGTGCTGAATACTTGCTAACTAATACCAAGTATTAATCTAGGTGCAGTGGAAAGATGAGGATGTAAAAATTAGAATAAGGATATACCATAGTCTAATGGAAAAGAAAAACACAAATAACTAAACTATTAGGAACTACAGTAAAAAAAAAAAGTTGAATTTTTGTTTTCATTTTCATTAAAAAACTTAAAACTTATTTAAATAAGGAAATTGCAATGCGGTCTTTGCCTTGAAAGTGTATATTTTTACTCACTGGGTTGAAGGAATGCTATTTATTGGTATTTCCTTTTGTTGACACTACCAAGTAGCTGACAAATTTTCCTTTATTCTAAAACTGAAATGTTGACTTTCCTATCAGGATTTGTTTGCCAGTACTTCAGTTACCTTTTAATTTGTTTATAAATTATACTGAGGTAAAAAGACTAAGAGCCTTCAAAAAACCAACAACAACAACAAAAACCTAACCTGTGAGTTATTAATGACATGATTAGCCTCCAGTTGGACAGTAAATGTAACACCAAGTTCTGATGAAAAGGATTTCATTGGTGATAATGTCCCAGATGTCAAAACAATCGTCCAAACCTTGCCATTAATATCTGAAAAGGCCTAAAAGGAAACAACATTAGATACATAAAAATCATCTTTAAAACAGTCAAGCACATTTATCTAATTGTTGGTATTGAGCAAGAAGACAGTATTCTCATTTACAGCATGATAAGCTCACCACAGCTGGATTTAAGCACCAAAAATTCAGCACATGAACTGCTGCTTTCTGTCGTAAACGTTTCTTATTTTTTGGTAGAACCAAGAACCCATTTTTATCTGAAGTATCAGTCTGATTTATCCAAGAGTAAGTCTGTTGAATAGCGACTTTATAATCATCTGCAAATCTAAATAAAAATAAAATGGTAATTAAATGGGAAAATTTTAGATAACATTGTCCCCCACCAACAACCCACACCACTATAATTCAGTAATCCTGATAGAAATAAGGCATTAAACCTTAGAGTCAGTCCCCCCTTACAGAGGTTAGATATCACTTAAATATCACCCTTTATCACTTCCCATCCCTATGTTCAAATATTACATAAATCATGGCAGAGTCAGAATTAAAATGCAAGCCTCCTAACTCCTAGTTCAGAGCTCTTTGCATTCTATGTTACATCATTAGTTATAAAATAGTTAACAGTATTACTGTTAAAGAAACTAAAAAGTGGGTTAAACTTTTTTATTGCATAAGAAAATAGAAAGACAATTTTTACTGAAATTTTAGGAAACTAATTTTTAAGTTCCTTTAAAATGTGGATCTCAGTCTTCATTTATTTTTAATGAAAGTACTAAACCAGATGAACTCCGTGATCCCATCCAGCTTATAATTTCTCTCAATAAGAGGCTATAAACACCTAAGCTTAAACAGAATAAAATTTGGTATTCTCTACCATGTCCTCACAGTAATACTGACTGTTAATTTTACCCTTAGAGAGATCAGAATTCAAAGTTCAAGTCAGGAACCCTGCACTATGTGGAGGGAATTTTATAAAAATACTGGGAGCTAAAAACTATAAAACTCTTAGAAGAAAACATTGGGGAAAATCTTCATGACATCCTATTTGGCTATGTTCAATGGATCCCAAAAGCACAAGCAATAAAAGAAAAAAAATCGATAAATTGGACTGCATCAAAATTTCAAAACTTGTGCATCGAAGAATACTATCAAGAGAGTGAAAAGAGAACCCACAGAATGGGAGAAAATATTTGTAAAGCAAATATCTGATAAAGGATTAATATGCAGAATAACTCCTACAACTCAACAACAAAAACCCCATTTAAAAATGGACAAAGGACTTGAGTAGACACTTCTCCAATGAAGATATAGAAATGGACAATAAGCACATGAAAAGATGCTCAACATCTCTAGTCATTAGGGAAGTGTAAATCAAAACCATAAGGAGATAAAGCAGAAACTAACACACCATTGTAAAGCAATTATACCCCAATAAAGATGTTAAAAAAAAAAACCATAAGGAGATACCACTTTATACCCATTAGGATGGCTATGATCCAAAAAACAAAAAATAACAAGTATTGGCAAGGATGTAGAGAAATTGGGAACTCTTGTGCATAACTATGTGAATCTAGAATGTCCAGCTGCTATGACAAATAGCACACTGGCTCCTCAAAAAGTTAAATACAGAATTACCATATAATCCTGCAATTCTACTGCTAGGTATGTACCCAGAAAAACTGAAAGCAGGCACTCAAACAGATACTAGTACATCAATGTTCACTGCAGCATGATTCACAATATGCAAAAGCTAGAAACAATACAAATGTCTATCAATGTAAGAATGGGTAAACAAAATGTGGTATATATACACGTGGAATATTATTCAGCCATAAAAAGGAATGACATATGTTACATGGATTAACCTTGAAAACATTAGATTGTATGATTCCACTTCTATGAGACACCTAGAAAGGGCAAATCCATAGAGATGAAAGTAGGATAGAGGTTACCAAAGGCTGTGGTGAGAGGGAAATGGAAGATACTGTTCCATGGGTATAGAGTTCCTGTTTGGGATGATGAAAAAGTTCTAGAAATTGACAGTGGTGGTAGTTGTACAACAATGTGAACATACTTAATGCTATTAAAATGTACACTTAAAAATGGTAAATTTGGGCTTCCCTGGTGGTGCAGTGGTTGAGAGTCCGCCTGCCGATGCAGGAGACACGGGTTCGTGCCCCGGTCCAGGAAGATCCCACATGCCGCGGAGTGGCTGGGCCCGTGAGCCATGGCCACTGAGCCTGCGCATCCGGAGCCTGTGCTCCGCAACGGGAGAGGCCACAACAGTGAGAGGCCCACGTATCGCAAAAAAAAAAAGGTAAATTTTATATTGTGTATATTTTACCATAAAAAAACACTTAAAAAAATACTGGAACCAGGTAGTACTATAACTTAAGGAGTAGTGTGTGGGGAGTTGACTGCTTTTCATTTCCCACATTTCATTAAATAGAGGATTTACACAATAAGAGAAACTTTCTGACACTGGAAGAAACATCTAGATTATACTTAAAAGAAAACTTAAATTTAGTCTTAGAGGACTTTAATGCTGAATTAATTAACTGTATTTATTAACTGGTTTCAATACTCATTTTCATTAATAAAAACTAACATCAATTGACTGAGTCTGTGCCTGTAAGTAAGAGCAATATTTATACCACTTGTTTATCACTATCCCATGTACTCATATAAAATTAGTAGGTATTAAACACATGGTAGCACCCAATAAGGTTAATATTTTTAAGAGAAAGAATACAGACCAGATTATCTTCACTTACCTGCTATTTTGCCTAAAAAGATAGTCAAGCACCATAAAAAGTCCTTTGAGCATTATTTGAGTTGAAGCACTAATAATAGGTACTTCTCTTGCCTCCTCTTTACCATGAACTGATGAGACTTTTTCTTCTTTTTGAAGGATAGCAGAAAAATGTCCCTATAAGGAATTACCATATTAAGTGTACCGGGGCAGGGGCGGGGGGAGGGAAAGAGGGGGAAAACAAAATTCTTAAAACTGTAATAAAACCCAAATGAAATATACATTGAAATTTTAGTCAAACATTAATACACAAATGCTAACAATATATTTTGAATTCCCATATATTCTAAAATTCTCTTCAGACTTATTTAAATAAGAAGTTACACATTTAGGAGGTTCATTACTTCTTCAGGCGATTAGGGTTTTATTCAGTGCCTTTGAAAAGCAATGAACTAAATAAAAATGTACCAAATAGTTTTTAAAAAGATTTGATATGCCACTTAAATGCCTGAATTATTTCCAGGGAGTACTCTGATGCTGAGAATAATATGACTATGTGACAAGCAAAAGTAAAAGAACAACTCAAAGAATACACACTAGATACAAAATGTATGCTAACTGGCTCATTAGTTTTTACATGGCTCGTAAGCTTAAATACAGAAAGAAGTGTGGACATTAAGACAAAATAATAAAACAGAAAAGTATGTTTTCCCAGATTGTGAAAGAGAAAACCCTGAATATTGAAGCAATAAAAGATACTGGTGACAACTCTGATGTTTGACAATAAAATGTGTGTTCAATGAAAATAAAATGGGAAAATAGTTAAGATAAATAAGACAGATAAATTTCAATATTCAGATATATTGTGAAATAATAGACATTTAAAAAAGTAAAATTAGTCTCTACTGAACAAAACGTCAAGAAACAAAGAACAAAAAAGACAACATGAACTTGGAAAAACATTCAGCACTACAAATTATTAATGATATTAATGAAAAACAAGTATTAAATTGTTCTTTTTAAAAAATCAAGTTCCCTGAGAAACACCTTACAGGAAGGCTACTATTCCTCTCTAACACTGGCAGACTACTGGCAATTTACTCTGTAAAACTACAGAACTTCTGAACTCCTGAAGGTAAGGCACTGTAGTAAAAACAAACGGACTGAATGACATTCTACATCATGAGACAACTCCAAGGCTACTTCTGGCTAGGTTACCTAAACAATGACAGCTGGGTTTATAGACAAATAGAAAACTAAGCAAATGGGGAAACACACACATAGACACAGACAGGTAATTATTACTTCATAGAAACCTAGAGTTGTATTAAAAATTTAATCAAGTAAGTTACATGAGATGACTATCATAAACTATGATAATATATATACATAATGATATGCACACTGAATAGTAATATAATTATGCTGAGAAAATGGAGAGTGAAGAAAGGGAAAGAAGGAGGGAGGAAAAGGAGAAAGGGAGGGACAGAGAGGAAAAGAGAGGGTGAGTATGAGAGTGTGTGTGTGTGTGTGTGTGTGTGTGTGAGAGAGAGAGAGAGAGAGAGAGAGAGAGAGAGAGAGAAGTGTGTGTGTGTAAAGGAGCTAAATCATCATCATACTTAATAGGAAGTCAATAGAGAATATCAAAACTTGAAAACTCGAAAGTAGCAGAATCCGCATGTTATTTAGAAAATTGGGGTTAAACATCAGAGGAAGCCACTATGAGTTAAAAGAGCCACCGAGAATGAAAATTGGGACAGAGGAGTGGCACAAATGAATGCTTTTCTTGATAGTAGTAATTGACTTTTAAATTATGTTCATATGTTACTGTGGTAAAATTAACTTGTAAAAAATTTAATAATCACAATGATGAATTTCTTAAGATCAAAGGAAATTTCCTTAACCTAATTTTTAAAATAACTAAAAATCCTACAGCATCTATGGAATGAGAAAAAGTATTTTCAAATCATATATCCAATACATTGTTCATATTCAGAATACATAAAGAACTTACAGTCAATAAAAGACAACACAAGTTCAAAATGGGCAAAGGATTTGAATATAGATTTCTCCAGAGAAGATATATAAATGGACAATAAGCAGTTGAAACAATGCTTGGCATTATGAGTCATTAGGGAAATGAAAATCAAATCACATGAAGATACCACTTCATTCCCCCTGGGAAGATTATAATAAAAAAGAGATAATAACAAGTGTTGGTGAGGATGTGGAAGAAATTAGAATCCTCATACATTATTGATGGAATTGTAAAATGGTACAGCCCCTTTGGAAAAGTTTGGCAGTTCCTCAAAATGTTAAACATAAAGTTACCATATGGACCAGCAATTCTAGTCTTAAGTATATACCCAAGAGAATTGAAAATACATGTCCACACAAAAATCTGTCTATGAATGGTCATAGCTGCATTGTTTATAACAGCCAAAAAGTAGAAACACCTGATAATGGATAAATAAAATACAGTAAATTCATAAAATGCAATATTATTTGGTAATAAAAAGGAATGAAGTATTGATAGATTGAACCTACAACATAGATGAACCTTGAGAATATTACGCAAAGTGAAAAAAGGCAGTAACAAAACACCACATATCGTGTTTCCATTAACATAAAATGTCCAGAATAGGTAGATCCACAGAAACAGAAAGTAGATTAGTGGTTTCCAGGATCTGGGGTAGGAGGAAATGGGAGTGACTAATTGCTAATGGGTACAAGGTTTCTTTCTGAGGTGATAAAAATGTTCTGAAATTACACAGCAGTGGTAGTTGCACAACTCTATGACTACATGAAAAACCACTGAATTGTATACTCTAAAGGGGTAAATTTCATGGCATGTGAATTGTATCTCAAACTGTTAAAAAAAATTTTTTTTAAAATACAGCAGACATATTGCTAAATGCTGTAATACTAGTAATACAGTCCTTTTAAAGTAAGCAACAAGATTAAGATGTCTTTTTACTGTGATGAACCATGTACTGAAAGTTTAAGCTAGCAAAGTAAGAAATGAATAAAATGTGAAGGAAATGGAAAGAAAGAAAATAGTCATATTCATAGACAGGATGACTGTCTACATAGAAAATTTAATAATCTATAGATGAACCTATAGGATAATCCAGCAAAGTGGTTGATTGTAAGAATCAACTACCATCCTTATACACCGATAAAAATTAGAAAATGCAATTTTTGAATTATACCATTTGAAAAAGAAACAAACTTTAACTTAGGAATAAATTAACCAAAAGTACCTAAGACTTTCAAAAATTATAAAATGTTATTGAAAGATATATAGAAAGAGAATAAATGATTAGAATTCTATCTTGTTCATGAATGGAAAAACTTCATATTGTAAATAAGTCAACTCTTTCTAAATTAATCCACAAATTCAATGCAATTCCAGTCAAAATTCCAACAGAATTGTTCATAGAAATTTATAAGCTAAGTCTAAAATTCAGATGGCAGAGTAAAGCGAAGAACAGCCAGGATCATTCCAAAGGAAAATCAAGTGAGGAGATATGCCCTACCATGCATCAGCATTTTTCTAATGCTACAGTGATTAATAAATAGGATAACTTAGATAAACAGAATCAAAGAACACAATAGAGTCCAGTAATAAGCTTATACATAAATGAAAATCAGATATGTGGCAGATGTGGCATTACAAATCAGAGTGAAATGGATGGATAATTTAGTAATGATGCTGAGAAAATCCACACAGGAAATAAGATGGATTACATATCTCACAACATAAACAAAAATGAATCCCAGGCTGATTGAAAACATTTATTAAAAAAAACTTTAACAGTTTTAGAAGAAAATGTTGCAGAGTGTAAGAAAAGCTTGCTTAAACTCAAATATCACAATTCATAAAAGAAAAAACAATGATACATTTGAATGCACTAAGATTTAAAAACTTATAAAAAAATACCATAAACAAACCACAGATACAAGAATATACATGTAATACAACAAGCAACGAAGAATTAATATTTACCATATATAAAGGAAATAATCAGAGATACATACAAATATATATTTTCAAGGATGTTCATATCAGAACCTTTTCTTATTCTGGGAAAACTGGCAACAACCTGTATTTCAAATGCCAGATTAGTCAAATAATTTAGAATATGTGCACTCACAAAAATGCTACACTGCAACTAAAAATCATGTGAAACAATTTTTATTAAAATAGGGAAGTACTCATATTACTAAATGAAGAGGTAAAAATAAATATGTATCATCTCAAAAATTTATGTTAAGTGAATATATGCATAGAAGAAGACATAGGTAGACACAAATCTAAAAGTTAATAATAATAATTTTTAAGTTTACGAGTTTTTTTTTTTCCTCTGTACCTTTCTCTGTATTTTCCAAGTTTTTTCCTTTGACATATATTTTATTTGTACATTTTTTATAGAGTGCATTAATCTTAAGTGTATAGGTCACTAAACAGAAGCACACACACACACACACACACACACACACACACACGCACGCACACACTTGTGTGTATGATTTTAAATCAGGATTCAAAACATTCCTCGAATCCCAGAAAGTTCCTTTGTGTCCCATCTTAGCCCAAACTACTCCTTACCCCTGCACTGGTAAGGTAACCCGTGGTAACCAGTATTCTGACTTCTATTAGCATAACTATGTCTGTTCTTAAATTTCATAAAAATGAAGCCATACAGTTTGTACTCTTTTGTGCTGGTTTCTCTTATGCAACTTTATGTCTGTAAGATTCATTCATATGGTTGTGGTGGCAGTGGTTCATTTTGTAAATTGCTGTATAGTAGTCTACTGTATGAATTTCCCACAATTTATTTAACCCATTTTACTGTTGATATGAAAAGTCTTTAGAATGCAAAAAGTTTATGCAAAAAAAAGAAAAAGTGTCATATGAAAAACTACTTATGATACATTGCACTTTAAAAATTCAGGGCAAAAATTATAAGTACGGTCTTATTAAAATATATTTTTAATACTCATATGCCCATAATGATAGTTCATGTTAGCAACAGTTCTTACCTTTTTTGGTTCAAAAACCTCTTTAAAACTATATGAGGAAAACTATAAAAGTCTGATAAAAGAAATCAAAGATCCAAATAAATGGAGAGATACTCCATGTTCATGGATAGGAACACTCAATATTGTTCAGATGTCAGTTCTTCCCAGATTGATTTACAGATTTAATGCAGTCCCAATCAAAATCCCACCAAGTTACTTGGTGGATACTGACAAACTGATTCTGACGCAGAAAGCTTGGTCTCTGTGCACCGTGCCAAACTGAATCTTGAAGACAAGAGTTTTAGGTGAAGTAGAAGAGGATAACTTTATTGCTTTGCCACTCAAAGGGAGATACAGCAGGCTCATGCCCCTGAAAAACTGTGTCCCCCAACCCCGGGGGATTTGGTGAGGGGTTTTATAGCAATAGTTCAAGGATAGGGTTGCTGACAAGATTAGGGTGTGTGCAGGGCCTGAACTCCTTTGATCTCATCTCAGGTGGTCTCCTAATCTTGATTAGCTTCTCTGGTTCCTTTAATCTTGCCTCCGGTAGTTTCTTGGCTTCTCCTCCCTTGTCTCTGCATCCCCTCCCTTCCCTAACAACTGTTCCAATCTGCCCTTTGGAACCCAGGGAAGGTCATGGAGGCTGGAGTCTGTTCCCTATATACAAGAAATGGGGGACAGAAAGGCTTCCATGCCCAGGAGCCCCACAGGGGCTCAGTTTCAATTCTAAGTTTATATGGAAAGATGAAAGACTCAGAATAGCAAACACAATGCTGAAGAACAAAGTCAGAGGACTGACACTACCTGACTTCAAGACTTACTATAAAGCTACAGTAATCAAGACAGTGTGGAACTGATGAAGGAACAGACAAGTATATCAATGGAAAAGAATAGAGAGCCCATTCCCTGGTGGCGCAGTGGTTGAGAGTCCGCCTGCCAATGCAGGAGACATGGGTTCGTGCCCTGGTCCGGGAAGATCCCACATGCCGCGGAGCGGCTGGGCCCGTGAGCCATGGCCGCTGAGCCTGTGCATCCGGAGCCTGTGCTCTGCAACAGGAGAGGCCACGACAGTGAGAGGCCCACATACCGCAAAAAAAAAAAAAGAATAGAGAGCCCAGAAATGGGCCAACACAAATATAGTAAACTGATCTTTTGTCAAAGGACCAAAGATAATCCAATGGAGAGAGGATGCTCTTTTCAACCAATGGTGACAGAGTAACATCTACATCCAAAGAAATGAATCTAGACACAGAACTTACACCCTTCACAAAAATTAACTCAAAATGGACCACAGACTTAAATGTAAAATACAAAACTATAAAACTTGTAGAAGAAATGATAGGAGAAAATCTAGGTGACTTTGGGTTCGGTGATGAATTTTTAGTTGCAACACCAAAAGGAGGATCCATCAAAGAAAAAAATTTGAACTTTATTAAAACTAAAAACTTATGCTACATGGAAGACTCCATTAATAGGATGAAAAAACAAGCCACAGGCTGGAAGAATATATTTGCAAACACATATCAGATGAAGGTCTTATATACAAAATACCCAAAGAACTCTTAAAACTCAACAATATGGGATTCCCTGGTGGCGCAGTGGTTGAGGGTCTGCCTGTCAATGCAGGGGACACGGGTTCGTGCCCCGGTCTGGGAAGATCCGCGGCTGGGCCCGTGAGCCATGGCCGCTGAGCCTGCGCGTCCGGAGCCTGTGCTCCGCAACGGGAGAAGCCACAACAGTGAGAGGCCCACGTATCGCAAAAAAAAAAGAAAAAAACTCAACAATAAGAAAACAACTCAATTAAAAAGTAGGCAAAATATCTGAAGAGATACCTCACCAAATAAAATATGTAGATGGAAAATAAGCATATGAAAAGATGCTCCACATCATATATCATTAGGGAAATGTAAATTAAAACAATGGGATACTAATACGTATCTATTAGAATGGTTAACATTCAAAACACTGACAACACCAAATGTGGACAAGGATGTGGAACAGCAGGAACTCTTATTCACTGCCTGTGGGAATGTAAAATGGTACAATCACTTTGGAAGACAGTTTAGCAGTTTATTGCAAGCTAAACATAGTCTTACCATACAATCCAGCGATTGTGCTCCTAAGTATTTATCCAAATGAGCAGGAAGTATGTCCATACAAACACATGCACACAAATGTTTATAGCAGCTTTAGTCATAATTGCTGAAACTTGGAAACCACCAATGTGTCTTTCAGTAGGTAAATGGATAAACAAACTGTGGTACATACATACAATAAATATAGTTCAGAAATAAAAAGGAATGAGTTGTCAAACCACAAAAAGACATGGAGGAACCTTAAATGTATACTGTTAAGTGGAAGAAGCCAGTCTAAAAAGACCACATACTGTATGATTACAACTATATAACATTCTGGAAAAGGCAACACTATGGAGTCAGAAAAACAAAAATCAGTGATTGCCAGAGGTTCAGCAGAGGAAATAAAGTGTGTTGAAGGGATGAATAAGTGCAACACAAGATTTTTAAGGCAATGAATGTATTCTGTATGATACTGTAACGGTAGATACGTGACTTTATGTTTTCATAACGACTCATAGAACTGTACGTACAACACAAAAAGTGTACCCTAACATAAACTATGGACTTTAGTTAAAAATAATGTAACCAATATTGGTTCAATTGTAATAAATGTACTACTACTGCAAGATGTTAATAATAAGAGAATCTAGTATCTGTGAATACGTGTGTGGTTGGGGGTGCTGGTATATGAGAATTCTGTCCTTTTTGTTCACTTTTTCTATAAACCTATAACAACCACTTTAAAAGTAAAGTCAATTAATATAAATAAATAAGAACAAAAAGAGAAAGTAAAAACATTCTCACCTGCAAAAAACACAAAAAAACAACCCCAAACAAACACTCTTTTGAGAATAATGTAAGTCATGAAGGTTCTATCCAGAAAAATGTACAAAAGTAAATACTCATAAAATTTTGAACGTAATTTCATAAGGCTCACAGTATCTCATAGCCCACCCATAATCTCTATATACCCAGGTTTATAACCTCTAAGTTAAGGAGAATAAAACATGAATTTCTTATCTTTTTATTTTCCAAATTTTTAACTTTTATAATTGACAAAACATTTATAACCTAAAAATACTGACTTATTTTAGCTTTAAACAAAGCAATTAATTCTGTATTAATTAAGCCATATAGCCTTCAAACTAATAATGCTACTTTTTCATCCATAATTTATGCCATCACTTAAAGATTATCGAACTTACATAATAAAATAAAATTTTGAAACAATTAACTTGCTACTTTTTTTTCTTTATTCTGGATTAACTATTCACTATTAAGTCATTTCTAATTCACTAAATAAATCTCACAGGTAGAAAAAAAACTTACCTGCAAAATAGGAAAAGTAGCAGTGGTTATGCCCATTTTGTGTAAATTTAAGAGCATGTCACTTCCACTCCATACTTTACAGGATGATTCATAACCCCTTTCCACAAGATGTTCAGAGTTTGCTTCTAACCAACTGGAATAAAATAAAACAATTCCATCAACCAGTATCACCCTTATGTGCACTACTTCAACAGAGCAAAGAGAAATGTGATACATTGATCTGTATTCCTTGAAGCTCTGAGCACATATATGTGGATTAATTAAGACACATTTTATTTATTTATTTTTGCGGTACGCGGGCCTCTCACTGCTGTGGTCTCTCCCGTTGCGGAGCACAGGCTCTGGACGCGCAGGCTCAGCGGCCATGGCTCACGGGCCCAGCCGCTCCGCGGCATGTGGGATCTTCCCGGACCGGGGCACAAACCCGTGTCCCCTGCATCGGCAGGCGGACTCTCAACCACTGCGCCACCAGGGAAGCCCAAGACACATTTTAAATACCATGCATGTTTCACATTGCAAAATAAATACACAGCTAAAAAAGTAAGCTTTTACTCAAAAAAGAGAAAGATGTGTGTGGTTCCCCATTTGTGTTTTGTGGACTCACACTGCTTTACTTGTCTGTCTCTCCAACTGACAGTCAGCTCTTAGGAGCTTATCCCAAATGCACATAAAAGGAAATACAAATAAACCTAATAGGGATTTCCCTGCTGGCACAGTGGTTAAGAATCCGCCTGCCAATGCAGGGGACATGGGTTCAAGCCCCGGTCCGGGAAGGTCCCACATGCTGTGGGGCAACTAAGCCTGCACGCCACAACTACTGAGCCTGTACTCTAGAGCCCATGAGCCACAACTACTGAGCCTGCATGCCCCAATTACTGAAGCCCGCGTGCCTAGAGCTCATGCTCCGCAACAAGCCACCTCAGTGAGAAGCCAGCGCACTGCAACCAAGAGTAGCCCATGCTCGCCGCAACTAGAGAAAGCCCGCGTGCAGCAACGAAGACCCAACACAGCCAAAAATAAAATAAATAAATAAATAAAAATTTAAAAGCCTAATAAAAAGATTATAGTGTTAAATATTAACACAAAAAAGAGAATTACTAGAAAATATATTCATTTACACACACACACACACACACACACACACACACACACACACACACACAGACATTTGTACATTCAGTGAGTGCTTAAATGCCTATATTATGCCAGACACTATACTGGATAGTGGAAATACAGCAGTAAATAAAATAGGCAAGGTCCTTATTCTCATGGAAATTAGATTCTACTAAGAGAGACAGAAATAAACTCAGAAACAATTCCATGAACAAGACAATATCAGGTAGTGACAGTGATATAATGAAAATAAACTGGATTAATGTAATCTAACTGCTACTTTCATTTGAATGTCAAGGAAGCTCTTCTTGAGATGACATATATTCTAACTGAATACAAAAAGTATTCAGTCATGGGAGGATCAGGGAAAAAAGAGTACTCCAAGTAGAAGAATGCCATTTTCACCTGGTGCAAAGATCCTCAGGTGATTTAACAAATTTTGCTTATTTAAAGACCCGAAAGAAAGCCAATGTAGTTGGACCACAATGGGTAGAAAGGAATAACGGTATGAGCAATGTTAGAGTGATAAGCAGGAATCAGATCATGTTGGGCCAGGATAAGAAGTCTGGATTCTCTTCAAAGTGCAATGGGAAGATTTTAAACAGAAAATTTTAAATAAGAGAGAGATAATCTATTTTAAGTGTTTAAAAGATGATTCCAGTTTATAAGCCAGAATGGATTATAGGAGAAAGACAAAAATGAAAGGAGAGACCTATTAGGAGGCTGTTACAGTTGTTCTAGTTGAGGGATGATTCTGGGATGACAGGTATGAGATTGAAGGATTTGGGATATATTGTGTAGGTGGCATTTATAAAACTTACTGATGAATTGCATGAGGTGAAGCAGTAATCAAGGATAACACTTAGATTTTTGATTTGAGGAACTGGTTGGTACTATTTGCTTAGACAAGGAAGACAGGGGCAGTGGGGGGGAGTAGGTAGGGGAAGGAAAGGAGTGTTTTGGAAAGTTGAAATTTTACATCCAAACAGAGATAGAAAGTATAGTTGGGTATATGAAAATGGCATTCCAGGGACAGGTTGGGACAGACACAGATTCAGGCCTCATTTGCACTGCACTAGGGTTATGTAAATTAAGGAGAGTGCAGAACTAGAAAAGAAATGAAGTCCCAAGACCAAGCCCTGAGGTACTTCAACGTTTAGACATCAAACAAAGTAAGAACTATCAAAAGCAACTGAGAAAGAACGAACTGTGAGGAGGAGGAAAACCAGAAGATGTCATGGAAGCCGTCTAGGAAAACACATTCCTGTGTGTCTGGTCTACTCTCACTACTTCACTTCTAACACCTCTGGTCTCTACGTGTATGTGGGGTTTTTTCCCACACAGGCAATTCTCTGAGACATCAGATGGGTGTCCTATAATTCAATTCAATTTCGACACTAATTGGAGTTAGCACAGACCCTACTGGTTAAGCACTCAGTCTCACAAGACTGTCCCTCCCACCCCCAACCTAGATGCCAGTTGTAAAAGTCCAGGTTGTCATCTGTGCTTCTGACCAAGCAGCTGTAAATCAGAGGCTCCCATGACCCCCTCCTCAAGTTTGAGCATTTATTAGAACAGCTCACAGAAATCAGGAAAACATTTACCAGTTTATTCTATAATAAAGGATTAACAGTCAGATGAAGAGATATATAGGGTGAGGTCTGTAAGGGTCCCAAGCACAGAAGCTTCTGTCCTTGTGGAGATGAAGTGCACCCCACTCCAAGTACATAGGTGTGTTCACCAATGCAGAAGCTCTCTGAATCCTGTACTTTTGGTATTTTTATGAAGACTTCATTACAAAGACATGATGGAACATTAACTCAATATCCAGCCCTTCTCCCCTTCCCAGAGGGGAGGTGGGCTGAAAGTTCCAAGCTTTTAAACATGCCTTGGTCTTTCTAGTGACCAGACCCATCCAGGAGCCCACAAACCCATCACCTCATTAGAACAAAAGACAGACCTGTCATCCAGGAAATCCCAGGGGATTTAGGAACTCTGTCAGGAACCGGGGCCAAAAATGAAATAGTAGAACAGAAAATGCTCTTAGTGCTCTTATCACTTAGGAAATTATAAAGGTTTTAGGACTTCCGTGCCAGGAACTGGGGACAGAGACCAATATATTGAATACATATTTTCTATTATTCCACAGAAGACAAAAACACTTTTCATAGAGGTGGTAGTCAACAGTATCCAACAATGCTGAGAGGCTAAGTAAAATAACAGAAAAATAACCTTTGCACTTAGCAATCTCTGGATCACTGGAGATCTCGATAAGAACAGTTTCAGTAGAATTATGCAGACAGCAACACTACTGGGATGGATAAGGAAAGAATGGGAAGTGAGAAAATAGAATCAGCAACTACAGCCAATTCTTTCAACAAATTATGCTGTGAAATAGAAATGACAAACTTCTACGTGGCAAAAATACCACAAGGAAAGACACAAGCATATAGCAAAATGGAGGGGAAAATGTTTGCAACTCTTATCACAAGCAAAGGGCCAATTTACAAAGAACATCTACAAGTCAATAAGAAAAAGAACCGTAAAAACAAGAACAAAGACAGAAATGTCAACAGAGAGTTGACAGAAAAGGACATATATATGGCCCTTAAAAATGCTTAATCACACATTAAGAGAAATGTAAATGAGGGACTTCCCTGGTGGTCCAGTAGCTAAGACTCTGTGCTCCCAATGCAGGGGCCCAGGTTCGATCCCTGGTCAGGGAACTAGATCCTTCATGCTGCAACTAAAGATCTCGCATGCCGCAGCAAAGATTCCATGTGCCACAGCAAAAATCCCGCGTGCCACAACTAAGACCTGGCACAGCCAAATAAATAAATACATTTTTTAAAAAAAAGAGAAATGTAAATGAAAAGTACACTGGGATACTTTTCACCCATCAGGTTAGAAAAAAAAACAACTTTCATATTCTCATACTTCGCTGGTCAGAGTATAAATTAGTCTTCCACTCACCCATCTACTGTGTAAATTTAAAAAATATCTATCAAAATTACATGTAGATCTATGCTTTGACCCAAGAATCCCACTTCTAAAAATTTTGCTATAGATATACTCCCAGACAGATGAAAGGGCATATGTTCAAAGTTATTCGTTACAGCAATGTAATAGCAAAAGATTGTAAAACAACTTCAATATCTACTATCAGAGGCTGGTTAAATAAATCACTGTACATCCATGCAATGGAATTCTAGGCAACTATTTTTTTAAAACTGAGAAGCTTTCTGGGTCTTGATATGGAAAGATCTCCAAAATATATTGTTAAGTGAAAAAAGGCAAGATACAGAAAAATGTACATATGAAGTACAATGCCTACAGTTAACAATACTGTATTGTATACTTAAAAATTTGCTAAGAGGGTATGTCTTATATTAAGTGTTCTTATCACAAATAATAATAAATAAAGAGGGCAGGAGGAAACTTCTTGAGGCAATGAGTATGTTTATGTTAAAAACCGTGGTGATGGTTTCACAGATGTATACTTATCTCAAACTCATCAAGTTTTAAACATTAAATATTAATAGTTTTATATATGTCAATCATACCTGGCTTTTAAAAAATAAAACATAAGGGCTTCCCTGGTGGCGCAGTGGTTGAGAGTCTGCCTGCTGATACAGAGGACACAGGTTCGTGCCCTGGTCCGGGAAGATCCCACATGCCGTGGAGCGGCTGGGCCCGTGAACCATGGCTGCTGAGCCTGCGCATCCGGAGCCTGTGCTCCGCAACGGGAGAGGCCACAACAGTGAAAGGCCCGCGTACCGAAAAAAAAAAAAGAGTGGATATATGTATATGTATAACTGACTCACTTTGCTATACAGCAGAAAAAATAAAACATACATCTATATAGATATTTTGGCGGGGAGGGCGCTGCATTGGGTCTTCATTGCTGCGCACAGGCTTTCTCTAGTTGTGGCGAGCGGGGGCTAGTCTTTGTTGTGGCGTGCGGGCTTCTCATTGCAGTGGCTTCTCTAGTTGTGGAGCATGAGCTCGAGGCGCGCAGGCTCAGTAGTTGTGGCACATGGGCTTAGTTGCTCCGCAGCATGTGGGATTCTCCCGGACCAGGGGTTGAACCCGTATCCCCTGCATTGGCAGGCAGATTCTTAACCACTGTGCCACCAGGGAAGACCCAAAAATAAAATATATTTTACGTTTAAAATGGAGAAGAAAAAAGTGTATGTATAGATGCCATCATTTGGGTAAAAAGGAGGGATAAGAGAAAGTATCTATATTGGCTCATTTTTGCATAAATATGAACTAAATGATAAACTTGTTCAGGAAGACAGAAATTAAGCAGATGGAAGATGGGGTGGGAAAAAGGTTTTTACAATATAAATTTGTAAACCTCTTATGTTCAAACATGTGGATGTATAAACATGCAAATTTTTTAAAAAATATACTGTGAAGGGAACAGAAAAGTGCTGCAATAAATGGAACGGGATGTAGTGTCAGGTAACATTTTTTTCTAAGGTAAAGAGATTCTAGATCAACAACATAACGTCTAATTAAAGGGAAACGATCTAATGTAAGTTTCAATAAAATACTAAATCAGGACTTCACTGGTGGTCCGGTGGTTAAGAATCCTCCTTCCGAAGCAGAGGACGCGGGTTGGATCCCTGGTCAGGGAATTAAGATCCCACATGCCGTGGGGCAACTAAGCCCATGCGCCGCAACTACTGAGCTTGTGCACTCTAGAGCCCATGCACCACAACTAGAGAGCCCACACTCTGCAACCAGAGAAGAGCCCAGGTGCTGCAATGAAAAGATCCCACATTCCATAACGAAGATCCTGTGTGCCACAACAAAGACCTGACACAGCCAAATAAATAAATAATTTTAAAAATAAATAAATAAAATACTAAATCTATTATTTTACAGTATTGAAATCTTGGTTAAATGAAACTCATCAAACCAGAATCCTACTCAAACTGCAGGATAAAGCGATAAAATAAAGCCATGGTCCAGAATTTTTAAATATGTTCATTAAAACCATGTTTAGTTAATGTTCAGCCCAATATCCTACACACATCCTATGGGACTACTAAATTATCCTGCTAAATTAGGAATAAGATTCACAATTATCAATTTTAAAAATCAGTTACGTTCACTATATTCTTTTGAACAAGACAAAAGTTTGGACTAGCCTATCTCTACCTTTAATGGGCAAACAACAATCCATTTCCCAAGTAGCCTGGTCAAAGTTTACTAATTGTAAAATACTTGGCACAATAAAACATGTTTTTAATACAAAGGCAGCACAAATGACACTGAAAGACAAATGTTCTTACTTAATGAGGCTATAGCACACAGCTCGTAGGGGTTCATGGTCTTTCTTCCTTATATTATTGTTAACCATACTATCTAGTTCATCCCGAGCAAACCGAAGCTGAACTTCCGTTATACTGTAACTTGCTGATTCCCGAGCACAGTCCTCAATGTTATGAGCTTCATCTAAAATGACAACCTGTTCTTTCAGATTGATATCCATCTATAAGATAAAAGAGTTTTCCTGTAAAACATTCAGCAAAATGGATTTAACAGCAATAGGCAAGATATTTCATTAAAAAATTCACACTATAGGCCAATATCACAAGTCCAACTATATAAGCAACTGATTCTCAGTCTTAAAATTTTAAAGCACTTAGGCCAACCAAATATCAGCTCAGCATTACAGTTTTCCATTTTTCACTCTCAAAATACTTGTAAACCTATCAACCAAAATAATATGTGTTAAGTGAGCCAGGATCAACATATGGCTGGTTACACAAAGGGGTATAAGGGATCTCCAACATAATATAAAAAGTAGAATTAAAAAAAAAACCTTTAAAACGAAAATAACAACACAAGATTCAAAAGACTCTCAAAATACTAATACAATATAGTATGTATCTATTTCATTTCAGTCTCTTCTGCAACCCTTTTGAGAAGTGCTCTTCCCCAACTCCCATGTGATGTCTGTAGGACTGTTAAGCTGTTAATCAAGGGACATCACCACTCTCATAATGTGGGTAGACTTAGAACCCAGGCTTGTCAATTAAATAAAGTATTCCATCAGTCTATGGTCACAATGACTGGTTCAAGAATGGGTATGAGATCCGAGCTAGGCCAATCAGAGTAATTATGGGTGACTAATGTGAAATCATATTCTTTTTTCCAGGTTACCTAGCTGGAAAAAAGCTAGCTGATTATGGTTATCTTTGTTCCTACTGGGAAGAACTTGCCTGATTACAAAGTCATCACGATAGTCAAGTATATTTTTTTAAGCTCTATTGAAGCTGGGTTTGTGTCAAATGCAACTGAAAGAGTCCTGACTAATACAAAATGTCACAAAGCAATTGCCACTGAGTTATTCTGAGGAAATAATAATATACAGAGGGCTGTAGATGGCTGAGAAAGAACCATAAAAGAGTAGGAAATATACTGAGGTTTAAAAAGTGAGCAGGATTTGGATTTGGATACACAAAGAGAGAGTAGGGCAATTCAATATAGGTGTAATCAAAAGCAGAGATACAGGAAAGAACAAGGTGTCCTCAGGGGACTTTGAGGTAAGTTTTTGAAGAGTTCAAGTTGGGAGTCTGTAGCAGAGAAGGCTGAAAAGGCAGATTTAGGTCAGACTATTGATCATCTTGGGAGTAAGCTTAAGAAATATGACTTTATCCCATGAGCAAAGAGAGATATAAGAGATTTTTAAGCAGAGGAAGACTGACTTGGCATTGATATATACCGTTGCTCAACGGAAAGAGACCTAGCTGAAAGGCAGCCAAATAAGAGGAAGGACAGCAGGGGTATTAAACATAATGCCTATTCATTTTAAACTTATAGAAATAGAAAGCTAATGAAAGTGGTACAGTCAGATCTAAAGAGAGGAATAACAACTGAATATATGAAGTTATTCACTTTTTGTCTTATGCTGTAACAAATGGATGTCTCTAAGAACCAGGCAGATAAACACAAATGCTGTATCCAAATTCACTTATTCAAAGTTCACAGAGCATAATTTGCATAGTATGCATATTCTCCCAACGTAAGTTCTTCAAAACACAGATTCTTTAGATAAATGTTTTAAAATCATTCTTTCTATTCATAAAGAGATCACATATAAGGGTCTCAAATGGGGGTAATTTTTTGTACCCCAGGGGATATTTGGCAATGTCTGGAGACATTTTTGATTGTGACAACTGCGAGGGTACCACTGGCACCTAGTGGATAAAACCAGAGATGCTAATAAACATCCTACAATGCACAGACAGCCCACCACAACAAGGAATTATCCAGCCCAAAATGTCATTACCATCAAGGTTGAAAAACCCTGTTATGATTCCACTTCAGTACTAGGTCCTTAGAAGTGCTTATTACTTTGGAAATTAAAATGACAATGTCTAAAATTCAGTTTTTAATACCCCTTAGAATATGTTTTCAATACTCTACTCTGTTTACACATTTCCATAAATTAAATATAAAGCAAAGAATAAAGTAAAAGACATTAAAACATATAAAAGCTTTACATTCATCACTTATATCCCAATAGTAGGAAAACAGTTCTTTTAATTTTTACATATCTACTCACACTTTCCCTTATTTGTGCATCTAGAAGATAGTTGTAGGGACAAAATATTATGTCAGCATCCTGCATTAGTTCTCGTGCTGTGTAATATGGACATGCCTTTAGTTTTTTCCCCAAGCTGACGAATTCTTCTATATCCCAGGCCTTGCACATCCCTTGGAGAGTTTGTAATATGTGTTGATCACTAATTTTATGAACACCATGATAAAAATAGCAGAATTTTCCCTAAAAAAAAAATGCATAGCTGAAATATGAAGCAATACTAGAACAGAAGAAATAACACAAGTTCACCTCAGAATTTTAGAAACATCATTAAAGCCACAAAGTAAAGATTTAACAGAGGAGACAGAGTACATACACCACATCTATAATACAACCATTTTAAAGAACTATATTAGTTAACTCAGATAGAGTTCCAGATCAGTATAGCTGGAAATATCCCAAATTAACTTGAGAAACATATTTTTCAAAGTATGTTTGTTGTGACTTTGTTCTGATTAAAGTGGTATTAGACAAAAATATTTCTGGAAGGATCTGGAAGGATACACAAGGGCAATGGTATCACTAGTTGCTTTCAAAGATGAGAGCCAAGTGACTTGGGAACAGGACTGAAAGACATTTTTCTCTATAGACACTTTTGTACCTTTTCAATTTGAGCCATGAGACAGTATTACTTAATCAAATATAAATAACTAAAAACAAAGGAAGAATGGAAACTGGGAAGGAGGGCAGGAGAAATGTCCTAGGGGAAAAAAGAGTGTTTACTACAAAAAGCTGGAAAATATAAGAGTACCAAAAAGCCCTAAATTACCTAAAATCCCATTATACAAAGAATGTACTATCAAGATTTTGATGTATTTCATTTCACATTTCTTCTATACATATATACTTGTGGATATATCTCTATAATGAGACCCAATTTTAAAATAATGAGAACAAAGCAAATTTTCCCCAGGCACTGAGGATTATTAACAATCTAGCCACTAAATATTTTTTTTTTTACAAAACTGGGATCTCCTTCTTTCTCTTAGCCTATTTTATTAAAAATCCTATCAGAAATATTTTTTCATATCACCAAGTTTCTTTTCATTGTTGCCTATATATGTACACTGGATTAATGTGCCATAGTTGATGAACCAGTTTATTACTAGACATTTAGACTGTTCTCAATTTTTGCTTTATAAATAATCTGCAATAAGAATTTTTACGCTCATTTCTAAATATTTTCTTAGTATACAGTTTTAGAAATGGCATTATAGGATCAGAGAGTAAAAATATTTTTAAGTTTCTTGAAAACCATATCACCAAATTATTCTCCAGAAAATGTATAGCATTTTACATTATCCTTTTTCCACACCTTTATCAACATTAATATTATCTTTTCTTATCTTTGCCTATTTTAAAGGTAAAAATAGAAGACTGTTGCTTTGATTTGTATTTTTCACACTTTCTAGCAAGGTTTAACACTACATTGTACGAACATTCTAAAAAGTTTCAACAGTAATTTGCATACCTTCTTTCATGTACTATTTACTAATGTCCTTTGCCATTCTATTATTAGAAGTAAAAAAATTTTATTAACATACACCAATCAAAAAATAAGATGTTTGATAAAATCCAGTCCTAGCAAAGGTGTGGCATATCCTATTAAAAGATGTATAAAATTAGAAGTATAAACTTCTACTTCTACTAGAAGTGTACTGGAAATTTGTCAGTAACTACCAAATAAAATTTCACCATTTAAATATATATATACTGCACTGTTTAATAGCCCCCCAAATTGGAAATAAACCAAACGTCTACCCACAGGGGATATGTTAAATAAATTGTGGCAAAAATTCATACAAAAGATATAGCCCTTAAAAAATAAGTTAGATTTGTCTATGTGCTGATGGGTTTAAGCTTTAAAAATAATCTATACACATACATTATAGAAAATACATATTTTAAATGTTTTAGAAGAATACACGTAAAACCTTACAGTAGTTCCCTTAAGGGGATGGAAAGAACTGGAAAAAGAGATCTTTTCATTTAATGCCTTTCTATAATTTTGAGTCTTTAACCATGTATATGTTACTTTTCTTTTTCAATTGTCATTTGGGACTAAGTGGTGAAATAATGAGCCATTTTAATTCATTAATTTTATATATCGAAAAAAATTAAATGTGATTTTGAAATCCAATATTTATCTTTCCCAGTTTGCTGTCCTTAACCAGTGGGGGGATATGTACATATGTGTGTGTGTGTGTGTGTGTGTGTGTATTTTTATCTATGAACTATACAAAAGGCAAATCTATGTTTTTAAAACATTCATACCTCATTACATACACAAAAATATCTAGACATTGCTAGAAATGGAGTAAATCATAAAAAGGTCATAACCTATAAAAGAATGTCAGCAAATCCAAGGACAAGGCATGATCAGCTGAGGACTGCTAATTCTCCTAAAGCCATGCTGCTTATTGGTCCTCCAAGGTATTAAAAATAAAAATTAGGAAGAAAGGGCTCACCTAACCTTCTTTATTTGCTTCATTTTTATATTATTTTCACTTACTTTGTCTAATCTCTACTACTCTTTTTTTACCCTTCATGCCATGTCAACTTCCCCACACTATGATGCCATCTTTCGTTTTTGTTTCTAGTGTAGTAAAAACAGCAATGGTTAGCAGTTAGAAGACTTGCTTCCTTTCTTGCTAATTAGTTGTCTGACACTGGGCAAACTTCAGGGCCCATTTTTCTCATGTGACTAGGCATCAAAAGAGTAGTTGAATTAGAAGCCTTTTAAGATTCCTCTGACCCGCTGACTATGCCATTTGTAAGGTTCCTTCTAGCTCTAAAATTCTATGATTCTGAGGTCAAGAGACAGTTGAAGATGTGCCAAGTATCTTTCATACTGAGCTTGATACAGATTGAGCTTAATAATATGACATTCACCATTTCTTCATTCCAAGTATCTTCCATACTATTCTGAAAGTTTTTATTCGTACAAAATGATCACTAAGGTGCCTTCAGAGTCTATGGTTATGGACTGTTAAATCTCATCTTAACAAAAAATAGATATTCTTCTATACCTAAAATAACTTTTTAGAGTTATTTCTAGGGCTAGTTAAGACTATTTTTTCTTAGTTGAAACAAAATTTAACTTTTAGCAGATAAGTGCATTGCTTTTCCAGTATAGGAGCATAAAAGAAACAGTGAACAAAAAAACATGTGCCTTTGGATCAAGCCAAAAACTCAGAAAGTTTACACTTTAAGGGCACTTAGAATGACACTGCTGTGGAGGCTGATAGCAAAACCAGAAAAGCTCATCCATTTTAGCAGTGTAATATAACCCTGAGGGGAGTCTGTCAATTGAAGCGTTATCACACTTTAAACTCTTTTTCACTCAAACTGTCAGGTATCTATTTATCATTTCTCTTTGGTAATTCAGCCATCGTAAACATAGACACCTTTAGTGACTTTGTAATTGGCCCTCATTACAATACCAAATTACCCTGAGGGCTTGCGAACAAGAAAAAGAATGTTCATGTACACCTATGAGCTAGGCATTCTGAGGCAGAATTAGGTCAAAACAACTACAAGCAGGTATCTTCAATTATTTATAATATTAGTATTCAAAAATAAAAGAATTGTTTACTTGAAAACAGAACCCAAAGGCCAATGAAAAAGTCTATTGGATTTTTATTTTTACATGATTCAAACTTTGGAGGATAAAGACCAATCAAAAAACATAACCACCACTGCACAATTCTAGAGGATTACATAAAATATTTGCTTTCAATACACAATCTTAAACTTTATAATTGTTTTTACTAATGGGATAACAAACACATAATAAATTACATAATAATTTTCTCAATAACAAGTAGTAAAAGATAATGACAATGCCAGCAAGTCTTCTTACATAGACTATTATAGCCAGAAAACAAATTTCAAGCATTTGAGGAATTTAGTAGATCAGTTAGCCACTTACAGAAAGAAGTCTACTTAAATATAAAATTTATGGGGTTTTATCATGAAGAGCCTTTTCTCTATTTTATTTTTTTTTACCATTTGGCTTTTTAGTATTTTTATCTCTCTTTGAAGAGAACTTTTTAAATATACAGAGTGAAGAGATTTCACAGTTCCTCAGTTAATTAAAAAGAACTGATATGAAAACAAGTATGATCACAGAATTTCAACAACGGTTTTGATTCAATTATTCTGTATTCTCTTCCTGGTTCTGAACAAGTCACTTAAGTTTTTCCACTGAAGCCCCTTAGTAATTATACTTCATATTATCAGGTTTGAATATCTGTTGAAGTTTCTTTTGAATAACCCCAAATAAGGCTTGAAAAAATTTCCATCTAATAAAAGAAAGCACTGACAAAGAAAAGCATAAAACAAAATAATCTATTCGCATTATATGGTAGGAGGTGATATATCAATTAAATGAAACTCTAGAGGCTGTAGCTCTTAGCCTTTTGTGTAGAACCACTTATGTTTGACAAAATACAGAAAGACAGAACAACTTTCAAAATATATTAAAATATCATTGGTCATTTCATATACTATCAACTTATGCTTCACCAATAATTTCTGGGTATAATTCCAGACCCATAACTTCAATTTTAGAGTAAACTAGTTATCAAACTGGTACACAGACTGCCAAACTAATACTGCCAAAATATTATTAAAAAATCATGTCTTTAGTAAGAAAGATTTATCTACCTAGCTAAAATTCGTATTATTCTAAATATCCCTGGAAAATTTCAAAACCATCAACATATCTTCAGTTAATAATTTAACATAATTTTTTGAAAGAAGTCTGTACTAATCAGAATTATGAGACAGTATAGTCATTACATTTCTCAATTAAAAAACATTTAAAAATTTGCTCAAAGAGAGGGCCTATGTAAACTACCTTATTTTGAAGTTTTTAAATATGTTAAATACATTAATTAGATCTAGTTAGACTAAATCACTTAAATGTTTTTAATCTCCTCATATGACATCCATGTTTGACTATTTTGGGTAGAGAGATTTAAAAGAAGTATGAAGACGGGTGACTAAAATGAAAATTAATTTTCAAGGAAATAAATAAATATCCCCAAGCTTTAGGACAAAAACCCATAATTTAAAACTTGAGCAAAGACTTTCTTATAGTAAAATTATTTTTTAAAAAATATTAACACTAGCAATCAATTTGATTTTTGTAAGTTATTTGATTATTGCTGTAAATGTACATATAAAATGAACACATTAAACAGTAATCAATCTTTTCAGCTAATTTTTCCTCTAAAATACATTAACTTACTCACATTTTTTCCATCTAGCAATTCCATGCACTTTTCATTTCTGTTGAAGTTACCTACTACTTCAGGATGGACACAAGTGTGATCCCTGCTGGAAAGAATAGTCATTGGGACCCCTGAGTATGCTGTCCTCCGGAGCTCTCTAGTAATCTGAGCAATCTGCTTGTGTGTGCGTGTCCCAAAATATATTTTGGGTATCTTGGACTTCCCCCCATGATCCTTCTTAGTGGTATTTGAAGAATCTTGACTGTCTCCTTGTTTAGTAGAACAACAGCACCTAGAACAGTTACCAGGGGGCTGTAACAAAGGAAAGAAAAGATAACTAATGTCTGGACTACCATAAAATTGTTATCAAACCTCTCATGGAATCAAAACTATAAGCAGTGAATCACAACCGTCAGATAAAGAGAAATTCATGATGTTACATCATCTAAAACTTGCCATTAAAGAAAAAACTACAAATTCAATTTCAAATTGGTTCTCCTTCATAAATAAATGATAAACCATTTTTATCATTATAAATGATGTTTCCATATTTGCATTGTATTCTAACATACTACTCCAACTCTCAAATTCCAAATGTTTTAAGTATATTTTAATTATCCTCTTTTATAAATTATAAAAATAAGATAAAACAAAGGACAATTTTCATTTTTGCTTAGGCTTCAAGTGAACTTGTGATATTACAATTTAGAGTTGATAGTGCTATTTTTCTTTACAGCACAGTCCATTCAAATATCCTATAATATACCAACATCTTAAAAAGCATTTTAAATATAGCTTACAGAAGAATAGAAATATCAAGCTGAATCTAAAGCATCAGTCAAAAACAAGAAAAGAAAACTATTCTCTAGCAAAAGTATGGAAATGAATGCAAATTATTAATATTTAATAATAAACGCAGGTTGCTTGTGTGGAACAAGTACATCTGAAATTCAATTACCTGTCATGGAATGTAAATCCATCAGTAAAATTACCAGTCAGGATAGCTTTTCCTGGACAATTTTACTCAATTCCGTTTCATAATTAAAATAGTTATATAAAGGCACCTTATGGAACATCAGGAGTATAGTCTAGTATTTAGCTGGTTTTTCTCTCCTGTTTCCAAACTCTCAAAAATAAAAAAATTTAAAAAGCTTTATGCTATATATTAGAACCCAGGGATTCTTAATAACTACTCCCTTCTCAACCTCAGTTACTATAAAATGAGACAGAATGCAGCCTCATTTAAGAGAAAGACGAAATGGTTAGTTTATAGGAATGGTCACTGATAGGGAAAAAAACTAAATAGCACAGTAGCTTAAGAGAATTTGTACTAGAGAGTTTTAGTTTAGTAGAACAAACACACCATTTAACTGCAGATTTTTTTAAAATTATAATCAGTAAGATTAGCCTTCATAAACAAATGCTAAGTCATAGCATGTTACACCACAATACTGGGGATCAAGCTGTCTTTTAGCCTCAACTCAGTGGAAAAGCAAGTTCAAATTACTCCCAGTCTCGCTCAACCTTGTCCGCCATTAAATATTACAATACATGATAGAATGGATGTAAATGTGACCCTTCTGGAGCTGTCACTCACTGGGATAAAAGGTTCACTGATGTGCCAAATAAACAGTCAGTCAAAGCAGATAAAGTTACAGCCATGCTGGAATTGTTACATTCCCCTCTCAGGTTGCCAGTAACAGCAGATTTCATTACAGAGTGCTGCCACATTAAATAGCCAGTTCCAAATATCCTGCCTTCTATATTGAATAATTACTTATTCACTGAAAGGATAAAAAGAAGAGTTATGAATGGGGCTCTTGTCAACAGTGAGGCAGGAAACAGCTGACATGTGGTTTATGTTACATATGTTGCAATATCTAACAATTTATGGTCACACAGAAAATGGCATGCAAACTATATCATGATATTTCTGACTGAATTCCTTTCTAGCCTTTGCAATGATCACACTAATTAATTAACTCAGTAAAAGAATTAAGGTAACTCTTGGTAGCAGAATTAGTTGACTTTTCCATACCTTCAATCTTTCACTCAGTTATACTATATCTCTTCCCTATGATACAGTTAAATTCACTCTGAATATTAGAATGCTAGGGATCAATGCATTGTTATATTCCACATGGATATATTATATACAAGCATAAAAGTAACTCAATAATGTGGCCTTTTTTCAAAGCTCGGAAAACCTACTTTTTGACATAACACTTTTCAACATGAATTCCACTTAAAGCTTTATCACCCACTCCTTTTATTTTAATTCCACTATTTTTCTAAACAAAAAATTCAAATGCTACAGAAAAATACAAAGTAAGTCAACCACCACCACAAATAACTTGCAGACCCTTCTACATATAATTATATCTTCCATATTTTTTCAAATAGAAAGGGATGCTATTATATAGACTTATAACTTGCTGCCTTGTATTCAAATGTTTTAATTCTTAAAAGGGGTATTTGCACTAATAATTTTAAAAAGGGATCTGCTTATCTTAAAATATTATGCTAGTAGCTGTACTAACAAAAGTAAAAGATCAAGAACTAGCTTCAGAAAACTCTTCCCACTAGAGCAGCTTTATTTAGGTAACTTAAATTAGTTTTTCACTCCATAACTGAGAAAATTTTAAACCACAGCTAATTTTATACTAAAAATGTTTTCTGTTTAAGTCTTAAAATGCTCTGAAGTAATTTTACCATCTATGAACTCAAGGGTGACTCCTCAAAGAAGATGGTTTTTCAGTGGGTGGTTGCACAAGTAGAGTAGAAGACAGAAATTAAGAAAGGTGATTCTTATTTATTTGCAATATTAAAGGGGAATTATTTCTTCAGAAGTGATCTTCTATTGGAGTTTCTATTTAAAGGATTCGGTATAATCATATTTGAAGATGGAAAAAAATGAATGTAGCAATAGAACAGAGGCTTAAAACAGACAATTATTTAGTAACAAAAGAGAATTATTTGTACCAAAATCAGCAAGTTTCAATTCTGTAAGAAAACTAGAGAAAGAATCCTGAAACAGCAATGACAGGAAGTCATAATATCCTCCACTCCAATAATAGGCTAATATTTTCTGGCCTCTCTCTGAAACCCTTTGACCTAGGGGTTTTGAAACAATAGATGAACAAAATTAAATATTTTTCACTAAGCATTTCTCCTGCTAACAAATGATCAAGTTTATCTTTCATAGGGATGTCTTCCTTTTGTTTTTGCTCTTTAAATTTACAGAGACTGTATTAGGAAACTGGAGAATAAATTAAAAAATATTCTCTCTCATCTAATATATCTGAACGTCAAGAAGACAAAACACATGGGCTCCCAACACCTGTAATCTCTAAGAACTGTAAATAGCTACACTGTATGGTAGAACAAAACTCTTTAAGAGATGGCTTCTTTTCCCATAGCTGGAAACTGTCTAGAGTTCTTTTACTTCAACAAAAGGCAAGAAAACTTAACCCAAATAACAGCAAAAAAATCTATTATCATTTAAAGAGAAACACAAGAGATACATGTGGGTGTGACAGCTCTATTATTAGTTCCACATGCAGGAGTCAATTGTTTAAAAATACATTTCAAATTTACAGTAGCCAAAACTGTTCTTAGGTCAACAACCAAGGATTTTAGAAAATTTTGTGTCTAACAATTTCTATTTATTCCCTCTCCTGTCATACTACATAGAGACATATATTGAAATTTTTTGAAAGGATAAAGAAAGAATATAACATTTGATCTTGAAAGGCCAACTGCTGATTCCTTGCCACTATTCCTTTCACAAGGCTACAATCAGAAGTTTAAGTAGATTAAGATAACTACATCAACCTCTAAAGTTTCATAGTTCTCTCCAGCCTTTCCCCACAACAACAAAAATTACTATGCCTAAATACTTGGAAAAATAAAAATTAGCATGGTGACTATGCCTTAAAAAGAAAAATAATAAAGGAGTAGTTAGAAACTATTGCATTGTCAGAGATGTTATTTTGTAAATTCATAAATCAGGGGAGTATCTAAAAGCTGTTTATGAACTGAATTCTAAAAGCAAGCATAAAAGGGTATATTTAATATGAAAGATAAGTAATAAAGAAGTGGAGAGGAAAAGAGACCAAAAAGAATCTTACTGGTATGAAATAAAGGGAAAACTACGTCCATGAAATAGTAACATATGTGCATGCATTGTCTTTCAACCACACTCCAAATTATTTGAGGACAGAAACTGTCTTACATTACTTCATCTACTCATTCATTGAGCATGGTGTTTTGCATATAACTGTAACTTAATTTTTTTAAATTGATAGATTGTGACTAATGTCCTTAAACCAAATACTGTACCCATGTACCACATTTTATCTGTAGATGCTTAACTGATGCCCTAATTTGAAGTCCTTCACATATCAAAAAATTACTTCAAAATAAAAAGGTTAGCTTTTAAAAGAAAAAATACAGGACTATTTGTTATTTTTCAAGAATAAAAAGAAAAATCATCTTGTTATGCTAATATCTGGGCCATGGTAGTTGTGGGTGACAAACACATATCCTGATATATTCATTATTAATAGCTGTCATTTATTAAGGCTGTCCCTGTGCTAAGCACTCTACATGTACTCTCTCATTCATTCATTCATTCAAGAAACATTAGAATTCCTGATATATCAAGCCAAGTAGAAGACAGTGACAAGGGTCACTTCACCCCACTGACAAAGAGGGCTTTACTTTTTAATTGTTCTACAAGGTGTGTTTATCAATACCAGTTTCGCTCAGGAGGTAAAGAACTGTTTAAAGTTGGTACTCTAAGTGCATTATTTCCTGAATGCAACTACAAAATATTCTTAAGGATAAGCTATACAATTTATTTCACAAAAACTATTTTAACTTATTATTAGTTGACATTTAAGTCAAATATTTTCTAACAGGATGGATATTATATTCCAAAAGGGAAAAAAACAAAAATTCTCAAATAAGAGACTCTTTAGAGCAAGATTCAACAAACTTTTTCTGTAAAGGGCCAGAAAATAAATATTCTAGGTTTTGTGGGCCATAAACTCTCTGTCCCTATACAGGAAAATATCTTCATTATCTCAACATAGGAAAGGATTTCTTAAACAATACACCAAAAGCAAAAATGACTGAAATCACAGTCTCGAGAAGATATGTGCACTGTATATAACCAACTGAAGATCATTTTTCACAATATATAAAGAATTCCAGCAAATCAATTTTTAAAAAACAAACCCAATAGAAGAAAAAGAGCCCAAGAACAAGAAAACCACAGGAGAGAAAAGCGGAAAAGCCAATAAACTTCT